TTAGGAATTTATAATGGGATATGCAAACAGAAGGGTTAGAGGTTTGTATTTCTGATGTGGAAATAGAATTTTTATGATACAAATATCCAGCCTTCAGGTGAACTTAATTATTGATATTTGAATGATTCATAATCAATGCCACCATATGTTTGGTCACATTTTTGTATTTTTAAGCATCACTATCAATTGAGAATGCTTTTACTGTAAACTCCAATTCAATTACTGAATTTGAATTGTAGCAAGGCCTTAAAGGTCATAGACAGACAGATGGATACAACAAACAATAGAACGGACAATAGATAGACAGATAGACGGACAGATGGATCCAACAAACATTTGCTAGAACAGCAGACGGATAGACAGACAGTTAAACAGAATGGACAATGGAAAGAACAATATCTAGATAGATAGATAGATAGATAGATAGATAGATAGATAGATAGATAGATAGATAGATAGATAGATAGATAGATAGATAGATAGATAGATAGATAGATAGATAGATAGATAGATAGATAGATAGATAGATAGACAGACAGACGGACGGACGGACGGACGGACGGACGGACGGACGGACGGACGGACGGACGGACGGACGGACGGACGGACGGACGGACGGACGGACGGACGGACGGACTGACGGACGGACGGACAGACGGACAGACGGATAGATAGATAGATAGATAGATAGATAGATAGATAGATATATAGATAGATAGATAGATAGATAGATAGATAGATAGATAGATAGATAGATAGATAGATAGATAGATAGATAGATAGATAGATAGATAGATAGATAGATAGATAGATAGATAGATAGATAGATAGATAGATAGATAGATAGATAGATAGATAGATAGTTAGAACAAACAATAGATACAGACAGACAGATAGAAATGACAAATGATGGACAGACAGAAAGATCTATTCTTCAATTTAGAGTTTTGCCTAACTCTTTATCAATGTGAAGGAGGCTGGGGAACATTTTATAGAACATCATGGGCTATACTGGGGTAATGAACATCCCTACAGAGGCACAATAATGTGTTGTATCCTTTTGTTCATGGCAAAAAAATTACCAAGCAATTTACCAAGCTCTATGCCCCTCCTCTCGCTTCATCACTTTTAGGCATCTCAGGGGGCAGCAGCCTGGGAAACTATGACTTCAGTGTTTTTGAGGCACAAAGCAGCATTGTGAAGTTCTTCTCAGTATTTCAGCTTGAAGAATAGCAGAGAGAGAAAGAGAGCTTCCTCCGAGAGGCTCAAAACACCAGAATGAGTCACTGCTGAGAATATATGTGCCATGGAGGATTCTGTCTGAACCAATGCCAGGGTATTAGACGACTGGAAATGAATGAAATTTGGACACATTAAGAAGCTGGGAAAGATGTTTGGATGTACAGTTTTATGTTTTCTTTCGATTACAAGTCCAATATCTGCATGCTGCACATTTATCTGACGGAAATTAGAGAGGATTAAGATGAAATCTTGCCTTCAGCTGCTCAGATTCACTGCAACACATACCGAGAGGAAACAAGACAAAATCCTACATAAATGTTGCTATACAATCACATCTATGCCAAAGTATAATGCCAAGAGCTGGTTAGAAATCCTGGTAACACTTTACAATAAGGTTCATAAGTTAACATTAGTTAACTACATTAGTTAACATGAACTAAGAATAAACAATATTAATTTTAACATTTACTAATACATTATTCAAATCAAATTTTGTATTTGTTAACATTAGTTAATGCACTAACATGAACAAACAATGAACAGCTGTATTTTTATTAACAGACATTCACAAAGATTAATAAATACTGTAACAAATGTATTGCTCATTGTTAGTTCATGTTAGTTAATAGTACATTAACTAATATTAACTAATGAACCTTATTGAAAAGTGTTACCGAAATCCTGAATATTTCCTACATATACTTCCCCTCTATCATCCACATCTGGCACTCAGCTGCACTGGGATATCCCCTGTCAATGAATCCAGGTTAAATTATTTCTGTCATATTAGCAAAAGACAAAAATAGCATGAACAAAATCAGTTTAATGCTCTGGCGTTGATATAAATGTAAATTATGATGTAACACATCTTTTCCTTCCCACTTTTTATTAGAAGGAGGCATGGAAACAATGGGGAAATGGCATCTGAAAATGTCTCTGGCCAATTTCAGACTCTCATTTTTTAAAATCCAACTTTTTTAAACTTCCCTTTCTAAAATTCTAGAAAAACAGGAAGCATTTTAAAACTTGGGTCATACCATGGGTAAAACTTGGGATAAATAAAAACCAAATAATAATACTTGGGTTGTATAATTTATGTTTTTTTTAGTATTTATGATATAATTTCCATATATATATTTTAAAAAAATCTAAACAAAAAAATCAATATCATGTTTCGAGTACACGTGGAACGCTTTCTGCTCACATTGTGCGTCTTATCTAGATTAAGTGAGAAAGAAAAAGAGCATGAGAGAGAGATGGATTGATATAAAAGACGAGAGATGAGTTGGTGGTGTTTGGTGATGCCCACAGTATCAGATATGACACATATTCAAACTGACATGCCACAGCTGACAGTACACTGGGAAAAAGAAATATTTTTTTGATGAGCAAAGTTAACTGTACAACAGCTCTGGAACAATGTTTAGATATTATAAAAAGTGCTATGCAAATAAATTTACATTGCATTGAAAACTTTATATAACATAATAGGGTAAAAAAAAAATATATTACGCTTTGGGATGAGAATGCGTTGGTATTTTCAACGTAATATTTAAAATGTTGTCCTGGCTTCATTACAGTAAGAATATAAAAACAATTATTTAAGTTTGCAAACAACATTATAATATAATAGCTTTTTCTCACAATATAAATGGGTTTTTAAAACATAAAATTATGTAGCCTAGTTATATATATTTTAGGAAGGGATCACTTGCAAGGAAATCCTCACATTTTGGGGTCCCTGGCATCAAAAAGCTTTAAAACCCCTATTTTGCAGTTACTCTTGGCTAAGCTTGATTAACTTCAAGCTGATCACTTAGGTCTGACAAACGGTAGCATTTGTTGCAGTTTCTTTGAATGGTAAATTGTCTGAAATGTATAGACTGGAGTATCACAGGCCATCAAACCAGTGAAGACTCACTTTTCCTGGCAAGCATCACCAGTTGGTCTTAATCACACATACACTGTGAGCAATTATCACAGATTTGTTTCAAGGTCAAAAATATGTCTAAAAAGCTCTTTATGTCTTGTTTTCTTCCAATACTTTGACAATGTCATATTCTTATTCCTTCTATGTTGTACTTTAACCTCCCATATAGCTTTCCGTTCATGTCATTTACTTTCACTTCCACACGTCTCAATCTGACTTATTATCTCATCCCTCTTTATAAGGAGAGTGTTCATTCTGAGAGACTGTGTTTCAGGGGAAACACAGGGCTATAGTTGAAATCATGTGTGGTGGTGCTCACAAATAGACTGAGGCTACACACTGCAACCCCTGCAGCACACAATAACAATCAGTCCCATCTGGCTGACAGCACCAGTTCTCCATCCCCCAATCCAGTCTCTCCTCACGTGATCTCTCTCTCTCTTCTCCAGCTCAGACTGCAGACAACAAGTCTTTTCAGAACTTCTGTCTTTGAAGTTTTTGCTGTCAAACCATGGGATAATATGCATGAACTGATACTGTAGTTCCAAGATGTAGTACACCAACAATTTATGAATAGCCGAATAATGTAAGTTGTTTTCTGTATATTATGAAATACCAAAAGTAATTGAAATTAACCAGGAGAAGATGTGGCCCAAAGTTATTTAAATTTATTTGTACACAAATTATGTATCAACACTTTTTATTATAATACACCGTAGGACCAGATTTTAAAAAAAGAAAAGAAAAAAGAAAGAAATAAACTTACGGTTTTTAAGTAGCCTATACAGTCCCTTGCCCACTTAAATGTAGCAGTTTTACATGAAGTTAATGCGCCCTCAAGTGGTAACCACACTTTTGGAGATAAAGTGTAAACGTACTACATCCAGTTTAACACAATTAATTGCAGAGTTCAGCATAAACTTAATAAACAAAATACTGCCTTTTCAATTAAAAGGTTTCTCCTTTTCGTTTGGTTGTCGTATTATTATACAATAGGCCTAGTGTGGCTTTTATTTTGAAATATGTAAAAGCATTAGCTGCGTCCCAATGTGCATACTATCCATCCTAAATAGTATGTGACATTAGTAATTTTCAATACTATTTAGGGCGTAGTATGCACATTGGGACGCAGCTATTACGCACTAGTGGCAGGAAGTCCACTTCATGAACGCGATAGTGGCAGGAAGTCCGCTTCATGAACGCGAATCGGTTCATTTGAACAGCTCAAAGAACTGGTTAAAATTTGATTAAGTGAATCCCGTCATTACGTCATCAAAGTGGAATCTGACATCCATTCGAATAAAGTAATTTTAGGCACACATTTTTGTTTATTAAAATTCTTTCTCGTCTCATCAATCTAATATCGTACAGATCAGAACGCTTCTCTGGGTACATAATTAATCTTAATCTTCATTAATCTTAATCTTAATTAATTAATCTTGATTAATTAATCTTAATCTTCTCTGGGTACATTATTAATCTTAATAATGCAAGATGCCCAGTTTAAATAAGTGAAATGTATGATATGTATGATAAGCAAATGTAAGCAACATGAGATGTAAAGGGGCAGTATGCGTGATTTAGGTGTTTCCAAAACTAAATGCACCTGTGAATTATTAGTCGACCCTCTTCTAGTTTTTTTTTTTTTTTTTTTTTTTTGAAACAGGGAAGAATTTAATTCATTTCAATTTAATTACCGAGAAACAAAGTCAATTCAGTCCGATTTGTGAACGAACTATTCAAATGAAAAATTTTGTTGCCGCTTAACCAATTCAAAAGATCCGACTCAAAAAAACGATTCGGACATTCGGAGCACATGGTTTCCGATGTTACTAGGATCCATCAAGAGCTGAGACACATGCAGGTTACCTTATCGCTTTAGACAGCTATTCCACGAATGTTAAAGCAGTTCAAGCAGTTTGCTCGATTAGCTTACAGTAAAGAACGATGCTGTTCAAGACCATTTGTTTTCGATTAATGCACAGATACAGTGGAGTGTCAAAACATACAGTAAGTTTCTGATCTCCTTTGTATTTAAATATCACTATTATTTTAATGAAAGAATCATATAGCATCCAAAAATGTGTACTGTGTGTGTGTGTGTGTGTGTGTGAGACTGGCAATTAATGTGCTGTTGATTTTTGCAGAGTGTTGTAAGGTTGTCGTCGAGTGCAGCAGAGGGCGCTGTTGCTCCTCCGGCAAACTGTAGGATCACAGCAGAGCAGGCAGTCGGACTGTGGGCTCAACACTTCACACTGCACGGCATCTCCGAGCCTCATCTGTCTAGTCAATATATAATATCTCATGTACTTGGCCAAAAAACTGTGAGTTTCTCTCTCACGCCATGTTTTTAAAATCGTTGTATACATTGTAAAAGTTCCAAACATATATACACAACTGAAAATGTGTGGAGGCATAGTCTGTGTGGTTACAAAGTGTAAAATAACAGTTTAAGAGAATTGTTGTACACATTCTCATTCCCTTTCCATGACACCATGTCCTTTTCTTTCTTTGTTAAAAGCTGGAATGTGTGCCGAGGAAAAGGCTGAGAGACACCCTGACTGACAGGGAAATAGAAAGAGTGTGGAAATTATGCTCCAAACGCCTATCAAGGTAAAACTACATTTGACATTTTTACTCACTCCTCACTGCAACTTTTTTAATGAGTAAGACAGTCGACCCTGTGCGCACAAGTGAAGGCCTTCACAGAACTTCATTTAAGTTTTTTGAATTGTTATTTGTTATTCATTTACGTTCTAAGATTAACACTAAACCATTTCCGAGGAGTTTTAACTTATTCCACCCACTGATTAGCTCAGGTCCATTAAATAGTATTAACAGATACAACTTTTTAATTTGAACGTATTATCAACATTAAGATTACAGATTACTTTAGAAGTATATTTTTCATTTTTAAGTCATGATAACATTAGTTAACTTAGTTAGTTAACAAATGGAACCTTATTGTAAAGCGTTTCCACAAAAGTGTACAAATTAAATTGAGATGCAATGAGAAATAAACAACAAATTAAATTAACACATTTAATATAATATTTCCTCAAAAAACATGTTTTTTGTAGACTAGACTGTTATTAGTAACATTAAAGGGTTGATTAATCCCATAAATGCAAAATTATCCCATAATTTACTCACCCTCAAGTCATCATAGGTGTGCATGATTTTCTTCTTTCAGCCAAACACAATCGGAGTTATATTAAGCAGAAGAGTTAGAGGTCACTCTTCCGTCGGAACTAAACTTGTGAAGCCAGTGAATATAGTTTATAAAGCTATAAATATGGATATTTTTCTTATAAAAACGCATCGCTTCACTTAAGAAGGCCTTTAAGGATTACTTTTATAATGAATGGATACTCTTTTTGGAGCTTCAAAAACTCAAGCAATAATCACTCCCATTATAAAGCTTGGAAGAGCCAGGATATTTTTTTAATATAACTCTGATTGTGTTTGGCTGAAAGAAGAAAGTCATATACGTCTAGGATAAGGTGAGGGTAAGTAAATTATGGGATAATTTTCATTTTTGGGTGAACCAACCCTTGACCTGGTTATAAATCAATGACTCGTGAAAAAGGCTGATGCATTTAATCATGGAAAACAATTTACGAACGTCTCTGAGAAGATAGATTGCCCATTGACCTTTATCAAGCCTGTGTGCATGTTTTTTTTTTAGGATGCCTGTACAGTATGTGATTGAGGAATGGGACTTCAGAGACCTGACCCTGAAGATGAAGCGTCCCGTGTTCATACCCCGTCCTGAAACAGAGGTGAACAACTTCAGTGACCTTCTTAGCACATGTCTGAATTTTGCCACAAAGTGAGAGTGGACTTCAAATAGATGTGACTTTTTGGATAAACACAGACTGTGTGTTTGAAAACATTTATTTCCGCTTGGACCCGCTGGTTTGTGTGCATCTAGGAGCTGGTTAGTCTGGTTCTAGAGGACCTCCGGTTGATACAGGGGGAATCGCACAGGACTGATTTACGAGGTCTGGAGGTGGGCTGTGGATCTGGAGCCATCTCTCTTAGTTTACTACACAGCATTCCACAGGTTTGCACTGTGTCTTTCTCCTAATTATTTATCTTGCTCTTCTGAGTAATGTAGCATGTCATCTGTAACATCTGTACCCATGATTCTTTAAGCTTAGGGTATTTGCTTTGGATCAAAGCCAGACAGCAGTATGTCTTACAACGGAAAATGCAAACAGGTGACTACCTTTCCCAGTCGACTATATAAAGCTTCTATAGATGAATCTTTATTACTTGATGATTTATTATGTTGACTATTCCATATGTATTATTATCCTCTTTCGTTTGTTCCAGACTGGGTCTACAGGACAGACTAGATATTCACCATTTAGATGTGATTAAGGGTAAGGGTAAATAACACTCCGCATAGTCCGCAATGACTAGTCATCATAACAGTTAGTGATTATTGTAAGACTGACAGGTCTGTGAAAGTGGCAACTTTTGGTCAGCACACAACAAACAAACGTCATTTCTGGGCATCTTGTCTATTTTACGTCACTCGGTGTAATCTGATGATTAATTTTTAACAGCTTTTTAACATAACTTATAAATGCAAGATGTCATAAGAACATTTTATTGCAAACTTAACAATGGTGTAGTTACATATTATGAATATAAATATAACTATATATATATATATATATAACTATATATATATATATATATATATATATAACTATATATATAGAACTATATGGGTGATTCTCACGAAACCATTAAAACACCACGGCACTAATGATTTTAAATATTAAACATGTTATTTAGTAATATAAAAAAGCATCACAATAAAGACAATACTGATCTCTACCTTGCACAATGTGTAATTTCAACATGGGAACAATTTTATTTTCTATTTTACTGTATTTTCTGCGAAAATTATCATTACTGTAATGCGTCCAACTTAACTGAATGTATGTTATGATGTAATTTAAACAAATTAAAATTAAAATAAATCAGAAAAAAAAAAATGGATGTTCTACTAGATTATTTCAGATGACAGAAAAAATAATTTACTGAATATTCATGTATAATAATAATGTAAAAAACTAGGAAAATTATGTGTCCATGACTGCGGTTCTCATCCTCCGTAACATTTTTTGAGGACTGTTAAAACGCACATTCAGAATTTAAATAAAGTTTGATTTTGAATAAAGAAGCACATGGGCCAGTTCCTTCAAGATGGCTACTAGGTAAGAAGATCTCTTTATATTTCTCCAATTAAATGTAAAATATTCACTTGTCAGAATGTGTACACGACATATTGATTATCATTACCGAAACAAGTAGTTTTCTATGTTTAGAAAATTGTTAGATTTACAATTTTTTATAAAATTGTACTTCATTAATGTCTAATTATATGCACTGAGTAAAAGATTAGCAAAGTCATCATGGATTCTCTATTGTTAGCAAAACATAGCAAGGCACCTCATCCTCCGAAACACCATTCTCATATACTGCAACCATTTAAGGCCAGTTGCGGTAAAGAGAACTTCTGTTTCGGAAATGAGAATTTAATCATTGTGTACTACTTTTAAATATACCTTATGGATTTAATATGAATTTAAATATTTTTTCTAACTGTTGATATTTTGCTTCATGATTTGTTTCATTGTAGGCAGTCAGCAAGTGAGAAAAAAAAAGTTTTAGCCATGTTGACAAAGTTCAGGGAAAAATTATACAGCAACCACTGCTCGAGGAGTACAGAAGGAAGGATAGAGAGAGGTTAGGTTTGGAGATGTTGCAGGTGTAATCAGCAATAAACACTCTACAGGGCTAGGAAATGTACATGAGCGTACACCCCCCCACACACACACACACAGCCTTTTATCCACTACTATAACAGGGCTATATAAATAAATAAATCTGCAGCAGTACGTCATTCATATTAATAAAACACTTAAAAAAACTTCAATATTTTTAATTAATAATTGTGTAATAATATTGTAATAATTATAGTTGATAGTGATCCTGTTCCTGAAAACTTCTGTTAGATCTACCTGAAAAACTTGAAGCACTCTTTATTTCAGTTGTATCTTTATTCTATTGTATTTATTTGTGCTTCTGTTCACTGTAAAACCCAACAAGTTAAGCTAACTCATTTCATTTGAGGAAACCGATTGCCTCAATTCAATTTAAGTTTATAAAAACAATAGTTATGAGTACTCTGAACCACGAGTCCACTAAAACAATGATATTTCTTAATACACAATTAAACTTTACACTGCATTTAAATACTTTATATAGCTGAAACTTCACTATATTGAGTAAAAACAGTGAAATGACAAACTTTAAATGAACTCAGAGCACTTTCAGTTACTGGTAGCTCACAATATTACACATAAAGTAAAATACAATAGGTTAAGCTAACTCATTTCATTTGAGGAAACCGATTGCCTCAATTCAAAGTTGATGAAAACAATAGTTATGAGTACTCTGAAATTATTTCAGTTGAGTTCACTAAAAGTAGATTTATTTGTGATTAATTTAGTGATTATTGAGCATTAGTGATGAACACCTGCTGTTAACAAGCAGAATCACAGAAGGAAAGAGAAACACAAGAACTACAACTGTCTTCAGACACAGTCTTAGAGGAAATCAAATGAAGATAAAAGACGACATTACATCTCTGAAGATCTCAGCAGAGGAGGATTAAACAACTCCACAAACAGCATCACCTGCTTCACTTATTACTGACCAGATTGACTTTATTTCTGTCAGACATCTACATAAGTTGCAATTGAGAATGAACAGAGGCTTAGATGATGATGATGATGTATTGTTTCATTTAAAGACTCCATGATAGTGGTCAGTGTTTGGTTTAGTTCGGCTCTTGACCCTTGACTTTATAACACCAGATTTTCTCTGGCTGCTGAAACTGAGTGTTTATAAAACACATTTGTTATAGCACAAAAGCCAAAAGAAAATATGATCATGTGTTGATGGTTGTGTTTTGATGATGAAAATCATCAATTAGTGACTTGATTCCCTGATCTTTTCATAGCCTAATATCTGAATAAACAGGTGATGTATTACTTGTATTATACATTATAATAGAACTGTGATTCTACTGTAAGGTCCATTGTTATGACAATCAGATTTCAATAATCATGGTATCATGCTGACTTACACATACATCAAGAATCATCATATGATTCTCAACAATGGTGACCATTAGAAGAATAATTCATGCTGGGAGCCATGGATAAGTTTTGTATATTGCTAGTATTCAGCATGCATTGCAGCATGAGTCATTTTTTTAATGGTCACCATTGTTGAGATTCATATCCGGATTCTTGATGTCTGTGTGAGTCTTGGTAATTCAATACATTTTCTGTGAAACTTTTTCTGCGCAAACTGTTTGTAAAGTCTTGCATAATATCTGATGGTCACAACAGTCTCACTTACTTGTAGAATCAGTTTTGAATAAAACAAATGTAATGTTGCCCTTTTAATCAGAGATTAGTCTCTGAATGAGATCAGTGAATCACGTCACTAAATGATGATTGTCATCATGAATCTTTACCAATCAACACCCATTCATACTTTCCCTTGACTTTTGTGCCATATTTGTTTTATAAACACTGTTACAGAAGCCAAAGACAAACTTGTATGCAAAAGTCAAGGGACAAGAGCACAACTAAAGCAAACGCTGATCTCCATCATGGTGACCTTAAACGAAACTCAAATCCTCAACTTCTAAACCTCTGTTATTTCTAATAAGAACTTTTGTAGACGAATGGCAGTAATAAAGTCAAACTGGTTAATAACAAGTGAAGCTGGTAATGCTGTTTGTGGAGTTGTTTAATCCTCCTCTGTTTAGATCTTCAGAGGTTTAACATCTTGTATCTTCAGTTGATTTCATCTAAGGCTGTGGCTGAAAGTCAGTTGTAGTTCTTGTTTTTATCTTTTCTTCGGTGATTCTGCTTGTTAACAGCAGGTGTTCATCACTAATGCTCAATCATCACTTAATTATACAATTATTATTCAATTATCATTCTGGTATCTAGAAATGTTCTATGACTCATTGAGTTTGAGTTCTGTTTCAGTCATTCAAGTTTCAGTAATATTTGAGTGCAGTGAACTCAATTCTATTTAGTACATATCAGGGATGGAAATTAGCACCCGCCACCAGCCAAATGCGGGTGATTTTGTGTTGTGGCGGGTAAACTCGCTTCACCTACCGGCCACCGTGGCGGGTAAATAAAAATAGCATACTGTTTCACCCGGACGGCGGACACTTTTAGAGGAGGCACACCTTCAAACAAAAATGTGGCGTTACATCGCAGGCGTAGAGGTCTGCAGAGAAAACATCATGGTGCGTTCACACCAGACGAGAATAGAGCGTCTGGCGCGAGTGATTTCATTGTTAAGTCAATGCAAAGACGCGTTACGCGCGTAAAAAATTCCTGCGGCGCGAATGAGGTGTAGAGCGCGCCGTGGTAGATGCGAATACGCCTCATTCGCGCGGCAAGTTCGAGCGTCTGACGCGTTCCGCGCGCATGATTTTATTGAGTGCTTTTGTGCATTCACGCGTTTGACGCGAATTCGCGTCTGCGCCCGAGTTGAAAAATCTGAACTTTGGCGTCAATTCGCGCCGCGTTAACCAATCAGGAGCCTAGCTGCTGTCACGTGGTGAAGTATCTGGATGCTTCAATAAATTATTTTGTACTAAATGCCTGATGTGGCTCTAATGCACAACAAAGCAAATATTTTATCACATAAAACTTGATTTCAATATATGAGACATATTCATTTTGTATTGAATGCTATTTATTCCATTTCATATCTAGATTATATTAAATATTATTCTAATGTAAAGGCAACCAACATACTATAGCTCATACATCCGTGTCTGGAGAGTGTTGTGTGAGAGAGAAAAAAATCACAGGACAGGTTAATTACTTTTGGAGGCTGGCTCAAATTATCATCAAAACAAAAATAAATGACAGATTAGGTGGATGAGGCCGAGGGTGAGAGAAAGAGAAAATGTCAGTATTTCATTGAGACTTGAGATTAAATAAACTGCTTAAGTATTCTTGTAGTATTAATTTTCACATGCAGTTACACATTGTCGGTTAAAAACAAGAAAGTGGCTGGTAAAAACATTGAGTGGCTGGTAGATTTTGAAATCCACCAGCCACAGTGGCCGGTGGACAAAAAAGTTAATTTCCATCCCTGGTACATATTACTGTTAGGTTTTACAGTGCACATGGCACAATTACATTTGTGCAATGATTTTGCATTTCTTTTTCTCCTTATCCTAAGAATTAGACTTTATCCAATTAGCCTACCAAATCAAAATGAGTTATTGTAAATGCCAAGCTCATGTAATGTAGTGGATGCTTGTATTTGTATTTAAGAACAGCTATACTATTCCCTCTACATTCGTTAAAAAGAAAGATTCAGTAAAAACTAACTTTTTATGTTGTAAATACTTTCTCATCTTCTTTTTTGGCAATATTTTCCTCTCATTCATCTCCTAATCATCTAATTCTGTGCAGCCAGGTGTATACATTGACAAATGCTGCAACAGTAGGCATTTACCTAGTTATGAAGAGGTTGAAGAATGAAGAGGTTTTTCCCTCTCTGAAACACTTTGACAAATATTAAAGTTACAAGTTATTGTTTTACGAATATTAAAGTTATTCATTTTTGTATTTTTTTGTTAATTTGTTGTTGTTGCTAATGTTATGTATTGAAGCACTACAAAATAAAACAGATTTGAAATTGAATCCATGATTTTGCATATATTATACATTTTTCTACATTAAATCTAGACATAGTAAACTTATTATCATTACCGAAATAATCAACCTCATTTCCAAAACCTATGTTTCATTACCGCAACAGATGATCATTAAATGTTAATTTAATTAATATAAAATTTGTTGTTTGCTTTTAAATGCGTGTACAGTATCTACACATTATGTTCTTTCAGGTTTGTCACATCATTTTGAAAATGTGTCAGGTTTCATTAAAATATATATAAAAAAAGGTTGTAAATTGTGGAAGGTGTTGCGGTAATGAGAGAAATTAAAAAAAAAAATTAAATAATGCTAATTTAAAAATAAATATTATTACAGATTTTTAAGTAACTGTGCATGACTGTTAATAATCCATTTTTAAAAATGTGAACATTTATTTTATTTTCTAACAGTGTTGATGTTTTCAGACTGTTGCGGTAATTAGATTTTTTGGGACTTGTTTTGGAAATTATGCTCAAAAAGGTCTTAAATTGTAAGTAAATATTTTTAAATTAATGTTCACAAATTCTCCAGACTTTGTTTTTAATGTCTGAATTTTTTTTTGTTAATTCAAGCATTTTTTAATTTTCATGTTTGAAATTTTTAAAACCAACCTTTCGTGAGAATCACCCATATATATATATATATATATATATATATACACTCTCACATACACACACACACACACACACATATGTGCATATATATACAGATAATAACATGATATTTAGGTCACCACATTGAGTATTTCCTTAAAAAATGGTTATAAAATGGTTATCCAGAATGAGCTATCGAGAGCTACTGAAATTTCATGATTTTTTTTTTGTTTTTAGGAGGAGAAACACATTTAGATCCAAATGATAATGAATTTTGACGGAACACAAAACCCAAAGTGTAGAATTTCTATTTAGAATTTGCTGTTTGTGTTTCCATGCTGATCTTGCATAAATGAAGGTGAATTTGTCAGAAGTGGACAGAATGGAAATACTTCTCAGCCAAGGTGTCATTCTTTTTCTCTCTTTAAGAAATGTTATTATGCAAGCACAATGAGAGATTAAAGTCATGTCAAGACTAGATGTACATTACATGTTATTTTGATTCTATAGTTAGTTTCTTTGCAAATTAGTGATTAACAAATAGAGAGGAAATGCAGCATGAGGGAGTAACTGGCATTTTTGATTGTCCCATTTCCTGTTGGTTTGTTATGACTGGCCAAAGTGAATTCCCCAGAAAGCTCCACGGATTTCTGTAGAACTTGAATGTCGTTCATCGATTCCACGCATCCCACTCTCCTTGTATGTTTGTTTACTAAATATTTTGACTAATTTCATCATGCTTTCAGCCTCCAGTAATAATCTCCATTTCTATTTTTCCATAAATCCACGACACAAAATTTCCACCCACAATCCGGGAAGAAGCTGAAAAGGTGCAGAGATTCAGTGTGGACCTTGTCATAACATTCATAATTGATTTAGCATTAGTTCGACTTGTGTGCTAGTAGATAACGAGACTTTGAGGAATCGAGCCAGACGGTTCAGCCCGAATCCTAGAAGGGCCTCTAAGGTAGTGACATGGAAATGTTCAGCTAATTCCAGGGATTTATTGGGCTTTTCCTGTTAAAGCTTGTGCCTCTCTTCCCACTAGATGGCATTAAAAACAGCTCTCCTGAATGCTAAATATCAAATTTTTATCTCTGTGAGACTGTGACCTAACCACATTACTATTATTAAGCTCTGAGATGAAGTTGTTTTCTCTTTAATCGCTGCACTAACTGGATAAATGAAGGTACTTCTGCAAAAAGGTTAAAGATCTTCCTAAGTGTTGTGTTTATTGAGCTAGCAGACATAAATGGAGGCTTTTCAGGAGTTTCATGGATCATTAACACAAATATATTTGTTTTGGCAGTGTTTATGTGTGTACAGTATATACAGTAGTGGCCAAATTTTAAAATATATATAAAAAAAAGATAAAATATTTTCCTCATATTTTGATGGTTTAATCGAACTTGTAGAGCGATTAAAAACAAACCCCCAAACCAATCCCCTCTGGACATCCTTTTTGGCCACTACAGTATATGAGAAAATCAAATATTATTTTAGTACTGTATATACTTATAACTAGAACCTAGTACCATTTATATATATACGGTAATGTTTACACTACCACTCAGCGGCTTTGGTTGGTAATAGTAAGATTTTTAAATGTTTTTGAAAATAGTATTTTATGTTCACCAATGCTTCATTTATTTGATAAAAAATATAGTATATAGTTTGCGAAATATTACTGTTTTGCAATAACAGTAATAATAACTAATCTATTTTACTATTTTTAAACTTTTCTATTTTAAAATATTTTTGAAATCTAGTTTATTCCTGTGATTGCAAAGCTGAATTATCAGCATCATTACCTCAGTCCTCGGTGTCACATGATCCTTCAGAAATCATTCTGATATGCTGATTTGGTGCTCAAGAAACATTTATTATTATTATTATCAATGTTGAAAACAGTTGATATTTGCTTGATTTTTTTTTGGAAACCATGTTTTTTTTAGGACTCTTAGATTTTTTTGTATTATATTTTGCAACATTATAAATGTATCCTTGCTAAATAATATTAATTTCTTTAAAATAAAATCTTACTGACCCTTTTTTGAACGTTACTGTTTATGTATAGTGTTTGATTCAAACACAACAACTGAATATATCCCCAGACATTACAAGCATGTAATTCAACATAAATGTAATTATTTTCCTCATTGGTCAACATTGTTGTTTAGTTTCAAGCTTTGAATTTCCATATAAATTATATTTTTGTAATTCAATGAAATCGCCACATCAGTGCAAATATGTTTTGCATATGACAGCGAGAGAACAAAATGTATTTTGTATTCCCAGATGCAGATGCGATACTGAGAGAATGTGACCCGGTTGACTTTATAGTGAGCAACCCTCCCTACTTGCTCAGTCAGGACATGAAGACTTTACAAACAGAGATACTCAGGTTAGGCCAACATGCGGACACACTCAACATGTGCTTTAACCTTTGGTGTGTGTTTGATAATTCCTCATGTAACCTTTTAAACGGCCACATCTCTTTCCTGGAAGGTTTGAAGACCATGCCGCATTGGACGGGGGTTTGGACGGGCTGTCTGTGATTCGCCCAGTTTTGGGTCTGGGCTCTAAGCTCTTAACAAAGCAAGGGTAAGTGAGAAGTGTGTGTTTGTCTAACGCCATCATATGTGGTTTGGCAGAATGTCTGGTTGTCTTTGATTATTCTTGTATTGTAGCCAAATACAGTTAAAAAATAGTATGCTATAATCGCGCTAAGAAGCTTTCCCAGCATACCTTAAATGCTTCAGGGAATCGAGTGCTACACAGTTCTCTGTAGTTCAGTTGATAACAGTATTCCAGGGACCAGATCATTCTCCCAGTACTCCTCCCCACCCTTATCACTCCCAAGACACACATATGCACATGCATACACAATAACAAATAGCACAATTAGCTTTTGGTGATGACAGTTGCAAAACCTGTCTTGTGGAATGTTCCATGCCCATAAAATGGCTAATTCAATAAGCAATTCACCGAATGGATATAAGTAATACACGAGTAATACGCTTGTAAAGACTGGAGAGCATTGCACGTGTCGTTTTTCTTGTCAGTGCATGTTGAGAACTTAGTGGTAGGGTTTCAGATTTCCTTGAGGGTTTCTCATTATGTGTCCACTCAAGGTTTGTTTCTTTCGCAGAAATGACACATTGCTGTCCTTTTATAGATACTGAGAGCCCCTAGCATTAGCTTTCAGGTTTTCTGTCTCAGACCTAATATTCTTCCTCATGACTAATGGCTTGTAAGATTGTTTACTTGGAAAAGCATCCTGTCCACCCAACCTTTTCCTCCCTTACTTTTTAAATGCCTTTGTCTGTCCAGACGGGTTTACCTCGAGGTTGCTCCATGCCATCCTCCAGTCATTCAGCAGCTGATAGAGGAAATGATGCCGGGGTTGCTTTATCTGGAAACCCATTGTGACCTCACCAACAGGTCAGGTTCTTATGCTAACGTGACCTGTCCTTTTTTTGCTGTTGTTGTTCACTTAATTTCAATGAAAATGTATCACTTTTGGAAAAAAAAAATCCTCACATTTCACAGATGTCTTCAAACATGAGGAATTTTTTTCCCCCAGAAGTGATACATTTTCATTCCGTGAATGTTTGTTCTTAGACTGAGTCCATGTTACAGTGTAATTACATGGTATTTGTCTCTTGTGGAATGTTATAACTAGGGATGCACCGATACCACTTTTCCGATACTAATTTATTAGTACTATTTATTAGTAGTATTAATTAGTAATTTATTAGTACCATTTATTGAGAACCCGAACCCAAAAGAATATAAATCATATTAGTTTGCTTAATTTGTTCATCAAATATATATTTCCTTCAGTTATTTTCATGCTTAATTAAGCCTGCTAAAATGCATTGAATGAGCTTCTTTTACTTTCACTGTTCATTCTATTGCTCTATCATATTTTATCTTTTATTTAATAGCACAGTACATATTTAGAGCTTTTCGAAATTTCAGGGGATGCTAAATTGTCATTTCATTCAAGTATTTTTGATGGTGATATTTTTATTAGTTCACTAGCATAGCTTAAAAAAATAAAACCTAAAAAATAGATAAATGTGTGTGTATGTGTATATATATATATATATATACAGGGCTTGACATTAACACCCGCCAACCTGCCTTGTGGATATGCATCTTTTGAATTGGTCAATAACTGTAATGGGATGTGAGAATTATGATGATCTTTAAAATGGGAACTACTCCTTTAAAGTGTGCATGTGCAAAAGGTTTTGTCCATGTCATTCTGGATCATCACTCCAGTATATGGTATAATAAAAGCGACTCTGTAAATAAAAACTGATGCAACCTTAGTAGGCAACTCAAGTACCCTGTTATCTCTGGATGCCGAGTAAACAGTATCCCATTTACAGTATACTGGTAAACACACTATGCTTTTTATTTTACAGGCCACGATTTTGCATTTTACAGAAGAAAGGAGAGGATGACTGAAACAAAGGACAGAGGAAAAATACATTAGGAAAGACAAGTCAGGAAGATGATCTTGGCTGGTATGACACCACCATACTAAGTAGAGCTAGAGTCTTTACCATGAGCAATTGCCCATTTAAAATGCCTTCAGTCAAATTGCAGGTGGCACACTGCCAGTCTCCTCGCCTGTTCCCAGCATGCACTGAGTTAAAAACCTGCCAATCCTACCAAGAAGCTCCTTCGTGAAATTTGCCGACCAAGGGTTTCTATTTGTCTTGTGCTGTAACCTTCTGTTGTTATATCTTTTATATTCGCTTTCCTTTTAATTGGTAAGCATGTGTGTGTGTGTGGCTGTGGTTTGTTGTGGTAAGATTGCATTGATTGTGAGTTTGTGCTCTGTGTGCAAGTGTCAGGGTGCAGTAGGCTGAAGGTAATTATTGAGGCCTTTTCTAAGAACTCCCCCTCCCAACCCTGCGCTAGTCACTCCCTGGAAGTAATGCACTCATTCTGCGAAACAGCTGGCCCGTTGCCGCTAACTCGCTCGCTCTGCTAGCCCACAAAGACAGACAGACAAACCAGACATGCTCCACTACCACAATGTATACACCAAATCTGTCTGTTCTCTTTGAATGAGTGAAACCGAATTGTACATGCACTGCCTCCCTTCTCTGTTTTAGTAATGTGTATTAAATTATTGCGGAGACATTTTATATTTATTGTTCTTGTAGAGATGCAATGCCATAATAAATGAACTATTTTTAACACATTTGTTGTCTTTATGCGGATAAATTAATATTGGCATTTTTGCCAATCTTATTGTTTAGATTATTAAATAAGAACCTTTTGCAGTGCAACTGTTCAAATAATTCTTATTGATCACCCTTTTTAATACTGTTCTTACATATATTATTGCACACAAAGATTATTTACATATTTACGTCACCAGCAAATTTATGTAAGCTTGCGCAGCACTGAGATCGAGTTTCAGAAAAAGCTCTGCCTCTCTTTCTGGGAAGGACTAATCACGGTGTGCAGTAAGAATGATTCACTGTGAGGAAAATAGAATGAGGAAACAATGCTTTTTTTGTTCACAGACATGTCTTTCATTTCTCATTATTAATGTTTTGTTACTCTTGTCCATCTCATAGAATTCATTTCAGAACACCTCAAAATTTTAGGCATTTAAAATAATAATTTAAAAATAGACTACATAATATAAATACACAGAAATGTTCATCTTTTCTTTGACATTGTTTAGCTGTGAAACCTTTATGGCCGGCAATCAGAACACATTCAGAATGCCATCTAATAATCTTGTATAACACACATTTTGTCCTGAAATTAACTAAATTGCACAGCAATTTTATGCACATTTGTTCATCTAATAATCCTATTATTCTGAGATTACAGTTCTGAATGACCTTGTTTGATAGTCTTACTAGAAAGCCAGTACTTAGAAGAGGAGTGAGTCAGATTGTTTGATTCTGTGTATCACGTCCATTTCATTCTGCGAAAAGGTCCAATTTATTCTCTTTCAGCACCTAAGTAATCTATATTTTTTTCCTTTTGTGTTATCCAAATAATCAGCACCTGGCCCTCATAATTTTAGACTTTTTCTTCATGCCATGGATTTACTTGATTATACTCTTCTATAAATAATTCTTATTATTCTCAGAGGTGGCAAATGACTCAAATTTGATAGTGTTGGATAAAACAGTATGACGTCAAGTAAATTTGATAGTCACTTTTATTATAAAATGAGAGGATCTTTCATCCATAAATACATACAAACTCCACATTGTGCGCATAGAAAAAAAATATGTAAATCTTGATAAAATAGTAAAAAAGAAAAAAAAAAAAACATTACACTTTCAAGAAAAGAAACTATTCCAGTCAAGGCAGCGCAGTGACTAAGCTCGCCTTTATAGAGTGCTGAAGATCAAGCCACGTATGTGCTTCTCGTGAGTTTCAGACAAGCTGTGTGATCTCATTTCAAACCATTTTTAAAAGGGTCATGTGACCTGTACAAAAGTTTAACGAACATTATTTCAAGCCGGTGGTTTAACCTGTCACACTTTTAACAGTATGACATGAAGGTCAAGTCACGACTTGCTTCTCATTGAGTCACGACTTGCTTCTCATTGAGTCAATTCTGGATCTGGTTTGACTCAGTCCCACTTGGGTATAAACAAAGTATCTAGCTATCTATTTAGATAGACTTGCTGACCATCAAAAACTTGTTTCTTGTCCAGAAACAAGTCTCAACACTTCTTTTTTGACCCCAAACCTCTCGTTGGGGCTGTGCATTTAACTTGCCTCCTTCAAAACATCAACATCCACCTCGTTATTGGCCATGGTGTGCGATTCCATGGTGACCTTAGAGCTGGAAAGGGTAATCCTTAAGATATTGAAGTATCAGTCTGGGTAGAGGCAGGTGCTCTGTGCAAGTTGTGTTTTTGTTGATTACCAAGCGAGTGAGATGTTGCAAAGAAGGAAAGGCTTGAGGATGATGGATCGGCCTTTTGAGTTTTAGCAACATCGCACATTCCTTGGGTTTTATGGACGTTATGTGATCAGACTCCTCAGTCTTTTCCCCCTCCTCTTTGCTCCTGGAGCCCACGTAGTGCTGCAGGAGGCTGGGGACGTCGGGGAAGGACTGCAGGCGAGATCTGACAGGGGAACTGGAGTCCAGATGGAAATGTCCATGACTGTACTCGATGCGTACGTTTGTGGGCCCACGGCTGGTTTTAACAGACAGTGTCAACATATAGAGAGGGTGGCTGCTGTCCCGTATCAGGAAAGTACCATTCGGTGCCTCCTGTAGGACAGAGTGGGCCTCACTGGCAGAGATGGCACCCCAGTACCAACCTGGAAAAAAGGAAGGGATTATTGAAATTAGTTATTACTGGAGAGTTTTATGGATATAGAAATAATAATTTGTAGTTTAACCCCCCTCAGAAGAGGTCATTCTAGAACAGTGTTTCCCAACCTGTGGTTCACGACCGGAGGGGTCGCCAAGCTTAACTCTAGTTTTAGCTATGAAATGGTTAACAGTTTGGCTTGTGGTAAGTATTACAGTTTAGTATTTTAATCATCATTAAAACTGTATTTGATTGCTAGGATTTGAAAAACTCACAATAAATAAAATTTCGTTTTGTTTGAAAAAATGGCGGAAAGAAGCGAGAGAGGTTTTACAAACGAATGCTGAGGGAAATTATATAAATTAAAGTATGAATTAATTCTATGAATGTATCTCTGGAGGGAACTGACTGCCATGAGAAATGTTTTGATGGTATTTTCTTGTCACCATCCCTCCGTGTAACAGTGGTGTTTATAAGCATAGATAGCGCTGCTTTGTTTACAGAGGTTACCGTGGAAACCGCTTTATTGCTGCTGTTCCATAAGCGCCACCTACTGTCAGAAATTGGATTTACATTTTCATTCAGCCTAAACTTTAACCAGTCAATGGAACATAAGCTAATGTGCATTCTAAAAATCTAAATTCAGATTATAAAGAATCTAGAATTATTAATTGAGCTGATAAAATACCTATAATCATTTTGACTCATTCTGTTTTTTTTTAAAATGCTTTAAAGGCTGGAATAAATAGGTTTACCGTTTTATAAAACATTTTGGTCAATACTTTAATTGAACAAGTAGTACATGTTAGTAGATAACATTATGTTGCAAGTCAAATCCGGACGTAGTTGTTAATGTTATTATTTTGTTATAATGTTTCTGCTGTTGTTGAATTTATTAAAAACTAAACTGATTTTGTAATCCCTGTCATTAAACAAAACGTGTGTTGGGGGTGGCTGGGCCGTTAAGGATTTTGAATGTTAAAATGGGGGTCTCCTGGAAAAGAGGTTGGGAACCACTGTCCTGGAAAATTGGTGCTTTTAGAGCCCTTTAAAAAAAAGATGCGTTTTTTTAAACATGTCCAACTTCTCATTGCTGTATATACACATTTTGATAATTATGTTTTCAGACAGGTCAATTTTGATTTTCATTCTAAAAAATGACCTTTCTAAAAGCAGTGTGTATGCACATATGTGTGTGTACATATGTATATATATATATATATATATATATATATATATATGTGTGTGTATGTATGTGTGTGTTTATGTATGTGTGTGTGAACTTGAGAGTAGACACATTGTGCATACTGGAAAAGGCACCAGTTTTACAGAACGACCCTTGAATAATTTGTGGATTTATGAATGAATCCTACTTGCCAAAAATAATCATAACAACATAGATGTAATAATTAAAAAAACATGTTGTCTTACCTGAGGCATCCAGATAGGAGAAATTTTCAGAGATAACTTTTAAATCTTTGCTAGGGTCCCATGAGTTAATGGCCGAGTGAATGCGGCGAGGAGAAGAGAAAGTCACCACCGGAAACCTGACCGTCGGATCGGGGGTATCAGTCAAATGAGCTCGTGGGCTGGAAAAAAATAATGATAAAACAAAACTATTTTAGGGACTTAAAAGTTTACAATACTTTCAAAAAGAAAACTTATTAAAATACTGAAGGCACATATTATTTTATTAACAATATTTGTTTATATACTGACTTATTACTTTATGTTCAAATGTGCACAGTAATACACATTTTCAGAAATGGCTGATTAAGCTTTTTAATTTCGTTCAATTTAACGTTAAATCTGAGCCATGGGTTTCAACAGTTTCAGTTCACAGAAGCATAATAAAAAAATCGTGTGAGAGACACAAATACCTTATATGTTATTAATGACACATATTATTGTATATTACTATAAACAAAATTATATGAATTATTGCAGACAGCTTTAAATATCAGATTAATGTAACCTGCCTGAAGTGTTTCACTATTTTAATGCAATAAACAATGTATATTTATATGTAGCCTACTATTTTACTATATAATAATAAGATGCTAAATAATTTGAGTCCATATGTCTTTCACGGATGCTTAGTGCCATCCTCAAGAATGTGTTGTAACGTTATTTATTTAATGAACTATTAACTTAGATAGTATGTTTATTTTGTTGTGATATTTAAAGAAAGATGAGCCGCCAAAACTCACCCTTGAACGCAGAGAATCATTGTGAAGATGTCCAGTTAGATATCTGTCGGATTCCTTAAAGTTTCTTTGTTCCTGAGGTTTTACTCGGGCTGGCAAAATAAAATGTTCTTTCTTGAGCGATGACAAACAGCTCAATAATGATATCTGTCGATCTGGAAGGTTGTTGAAGAGGGTCAGGATTCTGTCATATAAGTGCGCGACTTGTCTACGGGTTTGTTTAAACTACGCGAGTAAATCTGACGGACATGGTTGTCGAAAACGAGCGGCGTTTCTGTTCAGCCCGTGCCCTAAAACTGAGCAAGAAGCGGAACACTGCAGGGTTTGGCTTGTTCAGTTCGTCTGACTTCCCTGAACTGGTTTTCTCAGAATCCCCCCGTGTTTAGCGCCTCTGACGCCATCGGCAAGTACAGCTCTGTGAAACCCACAGAATCAATCCTCTCTTCTACCTCATTCAAGCATACAGCAGTCTCGTGAGTAATGAAATAGCACTGGACTTATTCATTTGTGAGTTTTATTATGATGATGGTCGGTAATTGCTTCCTGATGTTTGTGATTGACGTTCGAGGATGAAGCCGGCGTTTCTCTTGAAACCGCATGTCTTGCGTTCCAAGAACTTTCCAGGAAAACTGAGCGCCTGCCCTGAGTTAAGCCAATCAGGTCACTCCCATTCAATGAGGCCCCGCCCCCTAGAGCGGTCACCGAATTAACCATTTGTTTACTGCTAAAATGAGTTTCTGAAAAAAAGACATAGGCCACCCGCTTTGGATCATCTGGAGGAAGATAATTTCTTTTAAATGTGAAATTTAAACTTTTGATTAGGCCCTTGCATTAAAACATTGTGATATATTGTCCACATGCATCTTAGCGATTGATATATTCTAGTAGGCCTATTTTTTTATTTACAGAACAACAGTATACAGAAATGTACAGAACATTTTCATTCATTAATCAAAAACTATAGTCATATAAATATTACAAGTCTTTTTTGCTTGTTTTATTGACAATCCAAACAAGTGATGTAGTCCTTGATGTTGATGATCTGGAGAAAGCGAATGAAATTTGGGCTTGGACCCTGACCATTTCTTCTTATGTATGTATGTCTGTGGAACTTCCTCAAAATTTATATTTTAGTAGCCACTTGATTTATTAGCATTTCTAACGGAGAGTTTATTCTAAACGCTTATTTTTTACTGCCATCTAGAGGCTATCGGGTGTATCCCATTGTAAATTGCAGTGTTTTTGCATGGATGCCCTCCTTTCCTCTGTGATTTTACATTCATGTATGATCTAATTTGTGTAAAGATCTTGATTTACCAAATAATAATTACCACCAAACACTCAGTGAAAGTTTTTTTTATTTATGCAACAATATGTTCATAAACGATGCAAGAGAGGGCTGTAGATTTTAATTTACTGTTAATTACAATTCATTTGTATTATGTATGTTTATCTTGTGTATGACCTTTCACTCTAATCACTGACAGACAAAAAAAGGGGGGGGGGGGGGGGGGGGGAAATAAATATAAATGATCCATGTCAACATAGTCCGGGGCAACCATCAATAACATACATGAAACATATTAAAACATGTTTTTGTTTAGATATGGCTTTACCTTGTTTCTGCTAACCATGATGATTTTAAACATTTCACTAGCTGAACTATTCACTCAGTTAGACAATCATATTTTCAATCCTGATTTTTTTTAAATATTTGACGTACAAAAATATTTCATTTGGAATTGTTCTGATTACTAATAGAAGCTTATACACAAAGTATGTGCTTCAGTAAATACTAAGGGGCAATGTAAATCAAAGATTGGAGTTATGAGACATATTTGTGTATTGTAAGAAAAAAATGTAGACACCCAACTGCAACTATAAAAACACATAAAAGGTTATCATCATATACAATTTTTAAATATGAATCTGAATCAAGTCTAAACCTGCATACATATCTGTTACTTAACTGTAACTTGATTGGTTCTCACGCAGCCAAGTATAACATTCTGTCTGCATGCCACATTTGGCTCTGGTGAGTACGTGTGTATATGAGTGTGCCTTTTTCTATGAAATGGCTGTGGGTTCTTGTACTTGTGACTGTTTCAGTTTTTTTTTCCAGTTTTTAAAAAAAAAAAGCTTCTTGGACAAAACTTATTTTCTAGACTTTTAAAAAACACTTTTAAAATAAGAGCGATCTACCATCTTTCACAATAAACACTTTTAATATGCTTAAAATTTTGTTGAGTTGAGTGTGTATGCATGTACGAGATTATGTAACAAAAATATGCTCAGAAAATGTACTGAGATAAAATTAATTCCTGAGTTTTTCTCTTAAATATAAGCACATTAACACACCAATTGAATACGCATCTGATAACACTGAGTAAATACAAGCCAAAGAAAGTAGAACGTTTTTTAACAACAACTGAGCACAATCCCAATTTTTCCATTACTATTCTTGCAGGGTGAACAAATTAGCCTGAAAACAGGTGGAAATAGGGAACTGTGAAAAATGTAGGGTACAACTGAAGTTCATTTATCTCTCCCTCTCACTTTCTGTCCTTCCTAGCGGTTGCCACCATTCTCTCCACCTCCCTTTATTAGACGTTTGTTTCCCCTCTTCCCTGCAGGGCCACGAGGTTTGGCGAATGCTTGCTTGTGGGCTTGCTGCTTAGGATGGACCTCATCATACAGATATTCATCTGTCAGCTCCTCTCCACTATCTATCTCCAACTAAATGAACATAGGCACATTGACAAGAACACACACACACACACAAAAAAAATTCAGAATAAATTGTCAGTGTAACTATATATAAATTGTCTCTTATTTGTTAAAGTCAACATGAAAAGACATTCACAGTGCATTTTTGTCCATATTAGGGCTTTGCACACTTTGAAATGGTTAACCCTGGGTCATTCTAAGCCCTGTTGCCGCCATACCCCCCAAACACTGAAACATAGCCTAATATTTATACTAAAGACAAAACACGTGAATATGAGGCAAACGATTTGCTGTCGATTGCTAAGCAAGTCATAACATTCTAACATCTCATAATTTCACACTGTACAAGTTTGCAATGCGGGGCTAACACAGCAAAAGCGGTGCTAACTCTGCTTTGGAGCAGGGTTTCATAATCTTGGGTGAGAAGTGGTGCTAACCCCGCTTCTAAATTACAAGTGTGAAATGTTCCTTTATCCAGGGTTAAGAGCGGGTTTTAGAATGATGATAACTGGGGTTAAGTGCATGAAAAGCCCTAATTTTCTAAAAGGAACAGATACATCAAATTTAAATCATATAAAATATTTTAAAAAAATACATATAAAATATAAAAATACATTTATTATATTCATTTTTGTATTTAGAAATAAAATATTAAGTAAATAGGTAGAGTTTAAAGGTACACTATGTAAGGTATTTTATTGAATTTATATGTATTTGACTGACTGACGTTGTGAGATCTCACTTGGGAGCCCAGTCACCTGGTAACAAAACAAGCCAATGGACATTGGCGAGTGAAATATTCATGGCAAGCCACTCCCCCGGACATACGGGCCTGCAACTCACTCATTCAGGTTTCCTTACATGCATGTCTCCGAAACGTCTACAAATCAGCTGGACCACCTGGGACCCCCGGTGGGGGTAGTAAGAGCGGAGGAAGCAGCGAAGCGGCTTCTGGCAGTAAACGTGCCTTCCAAGACTTTGAGACCTCCTCATGCACCCAGTAGCGCGGGAAGGGGGGTGCTGCGGGGGCTGCAGCCCCCCTCGTCATAGCCACAGCCCCCTTGGTGGGGGCTGTGGACTAACATAATATTGTACTAAAAAACGTGGGGGGAAAAATGAAAATAGACATGCTGTGTTTGAGTGTTCAAGCTACGGAGAAAATGAAATAAAGTTTGAATTTGTCATGCTTAGTTTGTTCCGATCAGAGCATGTGAGCGGAGAGCGCATTTCTGAATCCCTCCGCTCGCTCATTCCGCTCAGGGTCGCGCGCTCAACCCAGAATGGCCTGCTGGTTCGAAAATATGTGGAATAAGGGCTGCCTCCGACTAAAGTTTTCTTCTAGTCGATTAGTAGTTGTTCATTTTAGCCACTGTGGACACATCACCCCTCTTTATATTGATTTAATTACTTAAATAGGCTACGGGATGAGCGTTTACGTAGCCTAATATAGCCGCACTCAAGCGCACGCCCGCACTCATAAACCTTGCCACAAAGAACTGGCGAAAGTAATGATTATTAATGTGTCAAAAATAGCAAGGAGACATTTAATTGTTTATTAATAAACAGGTGTTTTCTGTGTCGCTGCAAAGATGAAGTTATGCGGACTCGCCATGAACGCCAGAGAGAAATGCACATTTGATTACATAATCAGAGAGTCGTCTATTTCTTTTCGTTTTGAATAGTTTCGTTTAAAAGAAGACATTTCAAGCTAATAGATATCCTATATTTATAAAATCTGTGAGGCACAAGCTGAGTTTCGGCGCCCTCCAGTTTACGTGCAATGCAAGTGATCGCCGGCGCCTTACATTGTCTGCTATATTTGCTTCTTATTTAGCTATTAAATACAGGCAATTGTTTGATAAAACATATCAAAATTAAGATACAATTTATACTAAACGAAAATATTTTTAAAAGAGTCTTTCTACAACAACAAAGACATTTTGGGTATCTCATGATCTCATGTATCATGTCTTTCTCACGCTGCACGCTCACTTTCATAATCAACATTGATTAAATAAAAAATAACATTAGCCTATAATATTTAAACATAAATATGAAACTAAATATGTTTTCTTTAATGGCTACAACATATACAGAGAAATGTCATGTCTTGTCGTCAGCCATAACACAATGACGTCACATATTTTCCAACCCAGCCCTCAGCCCCCCTCGCATGAAACAGCTTCCAGCGCGCCTGCATGCACCTTCGGGAAGTAAGGAACCGGGGTAGGACAATGCCGTGCAGTACGCTACGCGCCGAGAGACCAATCGTCCAACTGCAAACGTTCGAGACAGTGTGGAGGGTTCCACTCGAGCCCGACACTCGTGGCGACCCAGTAAAGTAGTCAACTTAGAAGTCATCCCCAGTGGACTTAAGCCCGCTCTCTGATGCTGCTATTGACATCCGGTCCTCCACGGGAGCTCCAAATGAGATGCTGGGTCCCCCATGAGAAGGATCCACAGCCTCACCAGGAAACTCCTCAACCTGCAATGTGTGTGAGGAGTGGGAGGCCCGTGGGGACTGGCCCGGCGGGAGTAGAGTGGAGCACTATAACTCTCAGATCACCCTGAGTATTAACCGACTTGGTCCTCTGCGGAGCAGAGAAACCAGACCGGGGAATAACACAAGGCACCGTTTTCAAGGTATTGGAGTCTCGATCTCATCATCGCAATGGTCATGTTCCCGCAGTGGGAACATGAGTCACCAACAGACACTGCCTCAGCGTGCTTACGGCCCAGACACGTTAGGCAGTGATCGTGGCAGGCCAGGAAATTGCCGCATCCAGAGACACACGGGTGAAATCCATCTTTAAAAAGACACAACATCACCTGTGCTTGCTCTTTTAGGGAAACTGCTCTTTTGTTTGTTGAAGCACCCAGGGGTGTTGCTCTTGCTCTGAAGCAAAAAGCTAAATGAGTGAGTTGCAGGAAGGCCCGGTTCTAGACATTTGGAGGCCCTAGGCAATATTCATGTTGGAGGCCCCCCACCCCCAATAAAAAACTCTTGAAACAAATATGATTCCTAACCTTTTAATTTATACAACATTTAATTTTAAATGTTTTTACTTACACAGTACATACGTTTGCACATGTTTTTTTAATGTCTATTTTTAATGTTTTTGAAAGAAGTCTCTTATGCTAATCAAGCCTGGATTTATTTGATCAAAAATACAGAAAAATAATAAAGTGAAATATTATTAAAATTTAAAATAATGGTTTTCCTATTTAACTATACTTTAAAATATATTTCTGTGATGCAAAGCTGAATTTAGTGTCATGTGATCCTTCAGAAAACTTTATAATATTCTGATTTATTATCAAATGTTAGAAATGGTGCTTAATATTTATTTTATAACCTGTGATACTTTTTTTCAGGATTTTTTTTTATTATTAAAAAGTTTTAAAATAGTCTTTTTCACTATCACTTTTTATATATTTAACACATCCTTGCTGAATATTCCTGTGTTTTTTTGTTTTGTTTTTTTGATCAAATAAATGCAGGCTTGTAGAGCATAATAAAAAACTTCTTTCAAAAACATTCAAAATAGTAATTGGTCCAGACTTTTTACCAGTAGCCTAGGCTACTGTATGTACATATTAATCAAACTTCATCTAAGGTAATCTCTTTTGTGTTTAATGAAGATGTTATTGTTATTGTTATTTTGCTATTTTATTCAATTTATTCACAGTTCCAGAATACCACTTCAGTGATATAGGCCTATGCTTTTATCATTTTTTTCATAGCTGGTATGGGCAGGATTTTCCCCTCCCATTTAATCAATATTTACATATTGTCATCTTGATATTGTCATATTAAGTAGCCTAATCTAATATGATATTATGCATTGCATTGCTAGCTTAAATATGCTATACACAAACCAAGTGGAAGAGAAAGACACGATCGCTACTGATTAGAATTTTTTTTCTAAACTGATATTATTGGCGTAAGAAGGCTGATGTCATACAGGGTAGGCTATAATCTAATCATCAGCAGAATTTAGAAGATAGACCCATGAGATCCTTTATTTGAAACATTTAAAAATGTTGTAGTGTGTTGGCTTTTTAACTTTGAATACAAACGTCTTGTCTTTTACTTTTGTAGCGTTTTAGTCAGCTCCCGACGCGATGTTGTTCATTGTACGCGCAAATTCAAAGCGTCGCGTCTGGGCATGTTAATGACGCTCGGCTCTGTAATAATCCGGCTCTGGTTGCAGGCAAGTTTATATACCCATATGTCCAGGGGAGGGGCTTGCCATGCAAATCTCACTCACCAATGCTTATTGCCTTGTTTTCTTAACACTTGAAGTTAATTGGGCTCCCAATTGAGATCCCACAACGTCAGCACAGAATCCCAATTTTCCTTTCCTTTATGGAACCATAATTATGGTTCATTCATTCAACCATATTGTGCTGAAGCACAACCAAACAATGTTCTTCCGCAAAATGCATGCAGTTTTGTTTAACAACCACTACAGGGACAGTAATTACAAAGTGTACCTTTAATTGCATGTTTACTTTAAACAAAGTTTTGGGATTTAAAATCATGTGAGAAGTGTGATAGAGTGTGTTTTACCTTTTTAGCCACTTCTAGGTGGAAGTCCCTCTCTACTCCTTCCAGAAGTCGACTCTTACAGCTGGAATACAGCATCCTTTCCTTGATGCTGCAGCTGTATCCTGGCATGGAGTATATGAACACTATGGAGAGTGAGGGATAGAGGAAGACATGTGAAAAGATTTACATAACTGTTACACAGATTGATATACTGTAGATGAGATACTTATAAGGAATGGTGGATAGAGTGACTAACCCACAGACTCGAGGTAGTCTCCTTCATGTGAATGTTTGTAGAGAAAGAAGTGGTATCTGGGTGTATCCAGGGGGATCCGGCAGGGTAGATCACGGATGTCTGTCGGGCTGGTGTGCACTAGTTCAATTGTTTCCTTCTCTGTATCTAACTTCTAAATAGAAACCAAACATTTCTAGTCAGTTTGGTAAGAAAGTATCTGGTAAGAACACAATGAAGTATAGATGTGTATGTCTGCGTCGTACTAGTTGAATGTAGTTAATGCGTCTCTCTGCGAGCTGCTGTAGAGCACGTTTGGCCTCGGCCTGTAACGGGAAGGCAAGACCCTGTAGAGTCTGATGTTTGGGGTCCACACTGATCTCAGTTTTCACCTACAGACACAACCAATTGTGTATTCCAGCACTGTAAATGATGACCTAAACAGTTCCTGTCAATCTATTAAAAACATTTTCCTAAACAATTCCTATGAGCTACCCTAGAATGTCGTGGAAGACTTAATATATGCCAGTTCTGTTGTTTGTTTATGAGGGTGAGAGATGGTGGATAAGAGTATAAGGAAAAGTAAAGTGTTAACATGCTGGATGAGTGTAGATGACAATGTCCATATGCGTGGATCACACAAAACCAGTCATGAAAATATCCTAATAAAAAAACTAATAAAAAACTAATAACTATAATAAATAATAACATTTTTAAAGAAAAGCCTTATTTTTAGGACTCTTAAGATCCTAATTATCTTTATTATCTTTATCTTAATTATCTTTATTTTATCCTGATTTAAAACGTGTTTTAGTGTAGAAACGGGTGAAAATCATAACTGAGAATTACAAAAACAAACAAACAAAAAGGTCAAGGTCAAATATCCAGATGCCTTACATTAAAGACAAATTTCAAATTTGTGTATTGTTATGAAAATAGTGACAATGCAAAAAATTATATATATATATCTTAATGAAGAAATATAAAGAAGAAATATAAAACAAAGAGCTGAAGTAATTCATGGATGTATACTATAACTATGCTGTTAGAATATCTGCACTCTGCAGTCGTTTCCCACCTCTGTGATTCTGATTCGCTGTAGCTCCTGCTCGGCTGCAGTCAGGGGAGCTGGTGCAGAACATGAAGTCACATGTCGCAGGTAGCCCTGAAGACAAAGGTCCTCCTGGTGATGGGGAAAAAAATTATTCAAAATTGTACTCACAAATTTAGCCATTATTATAATATGGTTCATTATTAATTGATCAAAAATTAAATAAATGTAATTTAATTAATTGTAGATTAATTCCCAGACAACCTGAAGTAGTCATTTCAATATGTAAAAATTGTAAATAGACTTCCTCCCATAAAGCTTTGTTGTTTTTAGTTCAATATTGTACTGTGTAGAGTATATATTTAGTCCTCTCTGTGTTGACCATGACTGGTAAGCATTTCCAAGAACACTGCCAACAGCCACAAGTTGTCCAGTTTCTAAATTAAGGAACATGGTGGTCCACTCTGCAAACTTTTTCAACTGTAAATAATACAGCTTCAGGGTATTTGACTGACAGCTGAAGACATGACAGATTGACCGAGTCCATTTATCAGCAGATCCCTCATTATAACTTTATAACTATTCATATAGGCAAAATTGTTTGAACAAATTAATTTTGGTCCATATATAAAATTGGTGGAAGTGAAAATAATAATCAAAATTAATCAAAAATATTGAAAATGATAGATAAAGCTCCCTTTCTAAATCTAGTGAGTATAGAGAAAGCCATTTACCAATTGTACTACCGCTATTATTTGTTCTTGATATTCCAGTGTATAGTACCTCAATTGTGCCAAAAATTTCATCTTTGACGTGTCCACCACCAAACTCTTTCTTAACTGTGGCACGAGTGGCAGCATACAGCATCTTTTGTCTGACCTGTAGAAAAAGCAAATGCTCACATTATGAAATAAATAAACAGTAACAAAACAAATACTCACAGCTCTAACCACAATGAAGCGTACCCTATTTTACATTTTCTGAAAAAAAGAAAAAAGAATTCTTGCAAATCTAGGCTTCTAAAAGTGTTTTAAATACATTTATGCAGTTGCTACCGTTTTGTGGATGCTACATTCTTAAAAGAAAAGGTTCTATATATAACATTAAAGGGTTCCTTTCATATTGATAACCTTTTAGGGGTTTCCATCTTTTTATGAATTTAGTTTTAATTCATTTAGTTTTAATTCGTTTTTTATTTGAATAAAATTGTATAAAAAAAAACATTGTCACAAGAAAAAAAAAGGAATTTAAGATATTTCTCCTTATATAGAACCTTTTTGGCATAAAGGTTTCTTTAAAATTTAGTCCTGGGGCCTCATTTATAAAACGTGCGTATGCACAGATTTGATCATAGAGTGTGCGTACGCTAAAATCCGCTCTGGTTTAAAAAATAGTCAGTCTTTGACGTGAAAATGTTCTTAGCGCCACGTCAGGTTCTAAGCAGCCGTACGCACTTTTTCCTTGTGGCAGAGACGGAGTACTGCAGGTATTATGAAATCTAAGCGTGAATAATAATAATAAAACCCTGTTAGCATAATGACACAGAATTAAAGTTCAAATATTTAGTATTTGTACTGTGGTTTCACACTGACGTTTTTGTGAGAGCATGTTCGTTTTTTATGTGTCGGCTATGTTTGTTTTCTCTGAATCTCACACGTACACACTTTTGAGAAAGGATCTTAGATCAATGTACATTTTCTAAGCAACATTTTATAAACGAGGCCCAAGAACCCTAGGGTTCTATAACCCCACTGAACCTTTTGTTTAAGAGTGGGGGTGTTCTAATTGGTAATAGAAAGATTGTTTTGATTTCGATGTTTCGATTGTTCTATTTAAAAATAATAGGCTAAATGTTCTCCAACGGTTCTTATATATATATATATATATATATATATATATATATATATAACCTTTACTTATTTAAATGCATGTTTCTATATGAACAGCTGCATTAGCTGTTCCTGCTAATCAGGTCAAGCTTAACATCTTCATGTCTGGATGTTAAACCTACAGGAGACTGGTCAGGTGACCAGGAGATGAAGAGCCACTCATAGCCTTGAGCGTTCTTAGAGTCCAACCGGTATAAAATGTAGCACGGCTCGAGAGGGTCCAGCAGGGGGAGCAGGAAGTGATCATAGTCTTTGTCCCAGGTCTGGCGTGGCTCTCTATATGCCCCCAGCACCAGCTGCTCTGAAACACACATAAAAAAGTTTTCTCATTACAAACCTGGTGCAACCAACATTGCACACAACAATTCCAAACACCTGTTGCGCAATGAGTAATTTTATATTGCATCAAATAGATCAATCTATATGTGTTTACAAGGCTAGACTTGGTTAATGGCCTACTGCTGATAACAAATAAGTGAAATATTATCCATTATCTACATCATGCTATAAAAAGAGCATGACACACCTTGTATCTTACACCCAATATAGCACATGATGCTTAGTTCACCTAGAGACACATACAATAATACACATCAGTTTAATCTTCAGTTATATAGCCAAGTGTATTAAATAATCCAGTACTGGGGAATGTCAAACATCATAATATCAAATGATAATCATATCATCTTTAATGAACTGAACCATATTTAGTGTATCTTTGTTAACACTTTGTTTTTATTCAAATTCCTCAATGGTATAATGGTGACTTTGATACTGCTGATGTTATATAATATAATAAAAATGACTTGGGAGGAAAAATTATATGAAATAGTTCCACTGAGAATGACACCAATCAGATGTGATTTTTTTAGGGCCTTTCGCTTTGAAAAGCTGAAATTGCCATCATAAAGTGCTCATCACAACAATTCTTAGAAGCAATTCATCCCCATATGAAAAGAAGTGGTCATATTTATGAGACTTTGGGCTTTATAAATGCTCTGTTATATACAGTGTACTTGTACTGTATAATGCAGACCATTGTAACACTTGTAAGATATAGAAGAATTCCTGAAGAGTGCGACCAGAACACCCTCTGTACTGAAGCACGGGTATAGGCTTCATCTTTTCTAATGGGTCCTCTTTATGCTTCATTGAGAATGCACTGCGCCGGTGCACGTCCTCCAGAGCCCCACCCTCTGCTTTCAGGCGTCAACACTCAGATTAACAGCTATGTTCTCAGTACGCATCGCTTATCACATCAATAATCTACTTACTAGTACATCTGTTCACTTCACTCCCTGCTGTCCTCAGATTTTATTTGTACACAGACGTAAAATTGCTGTTTTTGTTTAAAACGTAATGATTATATTTCAATTTTTAAATGTAGGATATAAGTATATTTTACTTCTTTTTTTATAAAAAATTTTTTATTGAATTTTCCTGGACATAAAAAATATATAGTCGGTCATGTTATGTTAACAGATGACAGTTCACTCCAAAATCAAAAGACAAAAATGTAAAATTATATTTGACAATATATATACAGTATATATATATATATATATATATATATATATATATATATATATATATATACATACACACAGTACCTATATACATCCAAATTCAGCCTTGGAGAACATAAAGTACAAAAAACATTTAAATAAATCTTACTGACCCCAAACGGTAACACTTGAGTTTAGGGTCTGATTCTCACTATTAACTCTTTCCTCGCCATTGACATAAATTTCTGTCATTTGTGAGAAAATGCTTCCCCGCCATGTTTTAATCCAATGGCCTTGGCCATGATTGCACTCGTCTAACCTGTTATAGCAGGAATGTTGTTTCATTCATTCTTATGCAGCAGTCCAAACAACAGCTTTGTCAATAGTGGATTAAAGCATCTAAAGGTTGGGCAGAGTGAGTGAAAGATTTTGCACCTAACTGAAATAAACCATTAATGAGCACACCGTCAAAACAGCCAGTGCGTCAATAACCACATCTAATGCAAACATCATCCACCCACATACATGTCTAGTCAGAATGACCTTGGAGGGGGATTTCCTGATGGTCTTTTTGCAGCAGCTGCTATTCTGAGGTTGCACACATTCCAGCTATCGGCACAGACACATACTTTCCATCAGCCTTTTACTCACCCCTTAAAAACACACGGACAGAAAGCTGTTTGCACACACATATGTGCCAATTTGAAAAGATAAACATTTGTCTACCTCCCTGAGTTCTGTCATACAAGTACATTCATTCCAAAGAATATCACACATAAACACAATCCGGCTAAATAACTGAGTGTCTGAACCGTATGTCGGCACACTGCCCAGAAAGCTATGGCTTCGACGTTTTTCTATCACCATGAACCTGACCTAGCACCTGACCTTGTGGTCTGATCTACCCACCAATAAGGGTTGGGATACACATGTGACTTGGTCACCAGAAAAATCCAAAACTGTGTTGACCTGCTTTATGTTTCCTGAAATATCATCTCGGTGAGACTCAAAGGCAGCCTGTGAACCCAAAACAACCCGATCTATTCAGATCCAGACGTCGTCTTCATACATCCCAGGCGTCAAACAGACAGTAGAAGAGCCATATCAACAACCAGCCTAAATTCTATCCACCCGTGACAGCCATTAGATGTCGGAATGGCTGGAGCTGTAATATGGCCAGACAGTCTACCTGATTAGAAATCTTATCTATTAGCAGCCATCATCTTTTCTGGACAAAACTGTCCTGCATTAGTTTAATTTAAAATGTAATGTTACTATCTATCACTAATAGTTTGAAGCTAATGTAAACTCAAAGGTTTACATTAGGAACTAAGGAACATGAATATGACATTTTTGTATGAACTAACATTAAAAAAGGTTCATAAACTAACAATAACAATGTATTGTTATACCGTTTATGTTATTTAATGCATTAACTTAACAAAATGCATTAACAAATGCGAGCTATTGTAAAGTGTTACCAGAAATATTATTACAATTTAAAATAATTGTTTTCTATTTTTATATTTTAAAAACTAGCCTAATTTTTTCCTGTAGTGGCAAGGCTGAATTTTGTTAGCAGCTATTAACGCCAGTCTTCATTGTCACATGATCCTTCAGAAATCATTCTAAAATGCTGATTTGTGGCTCAAGAAATGTTTGTTAATATTATCAATGTTGAATATAACAGTGCTGCTTAGTATATTGGTGGAAAACGGGATAGGTTTTTTTCAGGATTGCTTTATGAATAGAACGTTAGCATATATTTGAAATCGAAATCTTTTGTAACATCATAATGTCTTTACTGTCACTTTTGATCAGTTTAATGCATCCTTTTCTTTCATTGAAAAAATAATAGTGCTGACCTCAAACTTTTGAACGGAGTAGGCCTAGCCTAATACTGCAGTCAAAACTGTTTTGTTTTATTCGCTCGGAGCTATATGTGTGAGTAGGTGAGTACGTGCATCAATACGTCATGTTAGGTAATGGCAGAGTGACTTCACTCAAATTTGATAGTGTTTTGCCCTTTCCTTCCCAGCAACTGGATCTTGTCATCTGATAGTGACTAGTGAGCTAATATTTCAACAGTAGCCTACCTGACACTCGGCCTCGTACGCAAACGCATGCTCACACACAAGCGCTTTTATTGCAACAGAGAAACCGTTTATCGTTCCATGACCTCTGCACAGTTAATCCCTCAAGAACCATTCAGTTTCCACGTCAAATGACGCGCCATCCGACCTACTATCAACATGTGATTGAATGCAGAATCAAAATACATTGTGAAATGTGTTTTGGTCCTATTTCCTCATGTCAGCTGATACCTGGGCGGTAAAACAACAAATAAAATAAAAAAACTAAAATCAACAAATAGCTACAAACACAACAAATTATTAAATAATATTAAATTAAAATAGTAAAATCACCCATTTATGTAGGCTATATCAGTAAAGTAGCTTATTTATTGGCATCATTTTAGTTTACCATTAATTAATTTAATGGTCCGAACATATTTCTATTTTCAACAGCCTAATTGTTGCTAAAGTACAGATTTTAGTTGAATCATACATGGAAAAATATAGTTACATATTTACACAATTTTGATTGATGACCGGTTTAATATTCCTGTATGGCTATTGAACATTTAGTGAAAATGAAGGCCGTTGAATTAGTGAATATTGATCTTCCACTTACAAAATGTATTAAAAAGTACAATGGTACAACCACGATTTTTGGACAAGGTACCATGGCCATACTAGAAATATATAATATAGGCTATTTGTTGAAGTCAACCTTGGACTAGGCTACTATGTAAATGGCATGGTGCATCAATATGGTAATCATTCAGAACCACGATACAATATCGATACAATAGCGTGTTAACATAGAAATACTGAAAGTTTTATCTCACTGATTGCTAATATTTCCTAGGCCTCGTTAAGATTAAGATGGTTAAGATTCATTAAGAGTTGATCTACAAGCAGGTAGGACTCTTTTGAATATATTAATTAAAAGAGTGAACTTGATTTATTGGTCAAAAAGTGTGCACAAGCATGCAGGATTTTTTTTTGACCGACTCCTCGAGATACCAATATTGCACCTTCACCTTTCTGATTCTTTAAACTCCCTTTGAACTGAGTGAACCCCTAAGACCTTCTCACTCACCGTCTCTGATCAACACCTGGATGAGGCGGCCGGTTCCACTTCGTGCCCGGGACAGGAACTCCCTCAGTTCCTCTGTAACCACCAGAACCAGAAACATGGCGGGTCAGTGTGGTGCCTTAATTCCTACCCGCCAAGGATCCTTCTGAAGTTGATTGAAGCTGGACAGGTCAGGTCACCTGGAAGATTTTCTTTTTACAAGCTATCTTCAAGCGATGGTCAGTGCCAGATTTGTGCGTTAACCTATCAGAAACTAAACGATATACAAGCAGCAGTATATGATGTAAGAGTTTGGTGTTTGAGAGACTGTCTGCTATCCAAGTGAGAGGGCATGTGAGAGCAGCAAATGAGTGAGAGAAGGCTCCTGTAACTAGGACAGGATCGTGTGTGCTTGCAGAAGGAACCCGATCCCTCTTGCCCCAAATTTAGCAGGCACACTGTCTGGCCTCGGGTAACAGCCTGACCATCCCCCAGCACAGCCCCAGTTGTTTAAATCCTTTGATTTGGATTTGAAAATAATGTATTAAGGATCAATTCATTCACCAAAACCACAACTAGACTCATTTCAAATCTCGTACCACCCTCTAGTCTATTGGACAGGTAAGGAACTGCATAACTGAATGAGTTACTTTGTTGTGACGTCACTGGTCAGCATCTTCCCACCATAACGACAATATCACACACTCATTCATGGAGAGACTTTGTTTATAATATTATATATATATATATATATATATATATATATATATATATATATATATATATATATATGTTTCATTGACATTTCTTCAGACTGCACAAGATAATATGCGGAGTTCTGCTTTATTTTGATTAGCTAAGATCAGGTCTGCAAAAATGTTTTACATCACCTCTCACACAAGCCAATTTTATCGAGCACTTTGTAACGTTCTAGGTTAACTCTAACTTCTCAACGAGGCAAAATCATTTTTGTGTGTGTGTGTGTGTTAATACACGGCATGATACTGTAAAGTGCTCTAAAGTCGTCTTTTATTCAGCGAGATTACAAACTCATGTGGTGACGTAATTCGTAAATTGTACTCAATAACAACCCCTTTACTGTCTAACAACTCTCTTTCTGGTATCCCTGCATGTAAAGTTATCTAACGTTATACGATTTACCGGCTTCACATTATTAATATCGTATCTATACATTTCCCTTTTAAAACTGATAAACATTCTAAAACTATGCTTAATTATATTACCTTAGCATTAAATTACAAACAAATAACACTGCGAGGGTGTTTCTAATGCAAAGGCTGAGGGAATAACTATAAATTTGACATCTTATATTTCAAATTAAGTATTGTGCTTTTCAATAACATGGCCAAATCCTCCTCTTGCCAGGTCAAATTCATGTTATGTATCTTTAATGCACACAATATTTCACAAAATATATTATATTTCATAAAATAAATAGGCCTATATTCTGATTTACAAGTAATAATTAACATTTCTTCACATGTCTCAAGATTATGGTTCACTGACACAGCTGGTTCTTTAATAACTGCTTTGTACACACTTTTTCAAACTCTTTATTGGGGCAAATATTATTCATATAAAATAAAAAAGCTTAATTCACTCTTCGTCTATATTTTCAGTATTAAAAACTTAAATTATATTATGGATTTCATAGTTTAAGACTGAAAGGCTGGAATTTGTAAAGGAACAGAAAACAATAATAATGCAGTCATTTTAAACAGTTCGGAAGGGTGTTTAAATGTGACTTTCTTAAAAAAAAAAAAAAAAGGTGAAGCCTGTTAATAAAAAAAAATGTAGGTAATTCTGACAACTAATGAAATATACCCATTTGGATGCAAAATAACCTCTGCAAATATTGAATGAACTAAAAAAGAAAACATAGCTACAACTGCACAATCTTCATTTGAAGTATTGAATTAACTCACATTCTCCCCTTTCCCCCACACAACTAAACACAACTGTTTCCTCAATAAGTGCAAAGTAACTTTAATTAAATAAAATCAAACTTTAGAGAAGGGTGATCAATGGATATTGGTCATGGATTTATATTTTATAAGCAATTCACAAGAATGCTGGTATTATAAAAGAAAAGTATGTAAAAGAATCCTGTAAAAGAATTGCATACAAGCAATTTTCACTCACAGACAGGTACAATCATCAAGCTATGATTATTAAATGTTGGAAACGCTTCAAAACCATATCTTTGGACATTTGTATAAACACGTTTATTTTAAAAAATGTTTCATTGACATTTCTTCAGACTGCACAAGATACTAAATCTACATATGCAGAGTTCTGCTTTATTTTGATTAGCTAAGTAAGATCAGGTCTGCAAAAATGTTTTACATCACCTCTCACACAAGCCAATTTTATCGAGCACTTTGTTGCAACCTCAAACAAAAGAAAAATGTTAACAAATTACTTTACAATGTTTTACAAAAAAGGTTTTAATACAGATATAAAATAAACAACAAGGAAATACAACTTGGCATCAAGGCCAATCTATTTACAGTCCAAAAGTCCTAGGGTGAGCAAACCCATGTGTGCCAAGAGAAGAGTGAATGCTGCCACCTGCTGGAAGAACACCACACTGACCGCTCCCCATCAGTCATCAATCGTGGGTAACCAGAACGCCTGTGGAAGTGAGAATTTAATGGACATATCAAGTTATTGTAAACTGGTGCACAGTGACTACTGCATTATTTATAGCTTTATAACCAGGCCTCCAGGGGAATATAGCACAAAAAATTGTGTGACATTTTTTTCTCCCTCATATTTATATACTGAAATGCTTTGGAACCTCTTTGCACTTGTTTGTGTTCGTTCTTTAATTACGTCTATAATATTCGTTCTCTCGTGCAAATTAATCTACAGAAAAAATGTGTTTGTCTTCGCAAATCAGAAAAATTGCTTCCCCTCTGTAATGACATTCCTTCTCTGATGATGCGTTAAATCAAGGCCCGTCATCTATTTTTTTATCATTCAATATTTAGTTTCACTTGGAAATAAGTCTCAATACTTAAAGTCAGTCAAACTTGAACATCATGAACTGTGACAAATTTAACCACTCTCAAAATACATTGTATTATATGCATTTCTATTATATGTAATATGTAAACCGTATACTTGATAAACTCTGTATGTAAACTTGGTACTTCAAACTAAAAACAAATAGTAAACATGACAGACAACATGTAACATCTCAAAACATGTAATGGTGTCAGAGAGTGAATGTGGATTTTCATTCAGCGCGTCTCCTTCACTCGCTCCGCCATGCTTCTCATCCATGTTGAAGTTGTCAACATCAGAGTGCAGTGCACATGCCTCTGATGCAGCATACACAGGGCTGGGAGAAAAAAAGCGATTCACATAGATATTGCGATTTTTTTTTTTTTTTTTTTTTACGATTCTAAAATCGATTTGTTTATTCCAGAATCGATATTAATTCAAATTCAATTGCTTTATTTTTGTCCTTGCTTGTAGATGAGGTTGACAGAAGTTAGCCACTTTCGTTCCAACAGTTCCAATGAAATGTGTCGTTATCGTTGAGTGTTGAGTAGGGCTGGGTATCGATTCAGATGTTCAAATTCGATTCGATTTCGATTCACAAGCTCACAGTTCGATTCGATTTCGATTCTCGATTCAAATTCAATTCTCGATTCGAATTTCGATTCCTGATTCGATTCTCGATTAGACTATAATGAATATAGATGTAATACAAATCTCAGTCTAAATATCAGTTATCATTTTTTAGACAATTTTTTATTACATTGATCTCACCTAAATGTTTGTTTTTACAATGGGGTAATTTTTTTGTTAAGAGTTTATGCAACACATGGAAGCTTGATTTCAATCTTTGAATTAAATTGAAAAAAGTAGCACAAATAAACACAATAGAATAGGCCTAAAAAGACAAATAAAGAGACATAAAAAGAAAAGTTTTTGGGTAGGTCAGAAATACTACAGAAACTGAATAAAGTAATCCAATGTAAAATAACACTGGATAGTCATTTAGTCCTGACTGAATTAAATACATAGGCTATTAATTCTGATTCCTTACAATTAATGCTATATTATGTTGTTTTGACAACAAAATTAATGACAGACACATATGGCTGCGTTCACTTTAAGAACTAGTGCACGGATCCATTACTGTTTCATTATACTGTCTGTCACACGTGTTTTATGCTTATTTAAGACATAACCGACTGTCTTTACGAGGTTACTCACCAAGACCAGAGTTTTGACATCATTTTGCGTGTTTTTAACTGTTAAAGCGATATAATCCACGAAAAATAACTCGTTACTGGCGAGCTGTTTGTTGTGAGGCGGATTTAGGCTGCACGCAATGAAAAACATGCACGAGTGCGCGAGCACAGGATAGTTTAAAATTGCTTAAAAAAAGACGTGAAAATGATAAACGTTAGTTACGATGCAATGCTGGCCCGATTGTGCAAGTGAATCATGTCCCGACTCCTAAACACGAGTGTGTATCGACGCCAGCAGCGCTTGACGCTTGCCTTGTGCAGAGAGAGAAGACGCAGCACTGGGAGCCCTGAATATGGAAAAAATCGATTCGTGGCCGTTGAGAATCGATTTTGAATCGACCACATTTAAAAAAACGATTAATCGAAAAATAGATTTTTTTTGCCCAGCCCTAGTGTTGAGATGGAAATGGATAAATACTCTGAATGTTCCGATCCAATCTGACTTGTAATGCTGCCCGAATCATACACTGTTTCTTCGTTGGCCAGAGGAGAACTGGCCCCCGACTGAGTCTGGGTTCTCCCAAGGTTTTTTTCTCTATTCTGTCACCTGATGGAGTTTTGGTTCCTTGCCACTGTTGCCTTGGCTTTTGGCTTGCTTAGTTGGGGACATTTAATATTCAATAATATTATTGATCTGCCTTACTTAAAGCTGCAGTAGGGAGTTTTGAGAAAACGTTGACTTAGCCTGAAAATTTGAACAAGCACAACTTACAGGTCCCACCCCCTTGCTCTCTGCTGCGCTACAGCCCTCCCTCCACAGCTCGTCCTCCACAGCGGAGCCTGTCGTGAACGCGCAGGCTAGTAAACAGGGCCACGATAACGGCGGATAAAAAGTTATATGGCACATTCACTAATAGGGACTAAACGTCAACAATATGCTTTACATTGACTATGGCCTGCCCATACTTTGACTACAAACTTGGTCCTCCAATCATTATGTATTTTGCAATAGCCTACATGTAACTTTATAACGTTGCACTCTTTCTATAAGTTATAAATAGCTAGTTAATATAACGGTAACTAACGTTACAGTATGTAAGTAATTATTCTAGCGATATATAATGCTAGATAAGGTGTGCTAGTACATTATTTCAGCAACATGACAAGCCAGTGAATTA